TTCAAGATCATTTATTAAACTCCAAAAGACGCCCAAAGTAGGGTTTGCCCCTATTTCTACACAGAATTCTACTGCATTCTTTAAAGGCTTCTCAGTGTTGAAACATTTAAACCAATTTCTTGTTAAATATGCAATCATGGCAATATTGCTGTTAACCCAACTAGATTGGGGCAGGTCCCTAATGGGGCTCTTTTTGCTGGAGAAACTCCTTTGCATATTAGGCGACACACCCCTAATGTAGCCAATCCTCCAAGAGTTTACAGAGCTCTTCTTACAGAGGCTACTGTAAGCTCTTGGAGGATTGGCTACATTAGGGGTGTGTCGCCTAATATGCAAAGGAGTTCCTGCTACAAAAAAAGCCTAATTAACATTATATAGCTTACATATCCTTGCAAAATCTGCCAGGTGGGGGTGAAATGTTTTTGACTGTGAAAAGATTGTTAACCCCTTCCTTAAAAGCTGTAAAAACATTTAAATGTTGATACTCACAAGCAAAAAATTGCCACGGTGTGTAAGTTCTTCCAAAGTCTACCGATCTTTCTAACACCCACAGATCTGGACGAGGAGAGTTTGCAAATTTGATGAGGATATAGGCCACATGAAAGAACTGGTAATAAAATAGATGTAAGGAACATATAAATATATGTAAAGAAACGTTATAGTAATATAAATAGCTGTGCTGAGTAAGCTCCAGTTATATTAACTCCTCTGTGCACTACAAGAAGAAAGCTAATCGTGTTAGTTCTTGAGAAAACAGCACAGGAAAGTGGCATGCATTATGCTTTCTACATTTACATGTATAGTAAATATTTTCGCTTCTATGCACATGCAATTCAGTGTTCTATGAATCTGATGTGTTGTAACAAGCAGTGTTCCCTCTAAGCTGAGTTAGTGTGAGCTAGCTCACAGATTTTTAGCCTCCGGCTCACACATTTTTGTCTTAGCTCAGGAAGGGATGTCTCCAGAGCAAACTAATTTATGCAGCGGCCAAATCGCTCACTCACAGCTTTAATGCCAGTCGCTCACAAAGTAGAATTTTTGCTCACAAGACTCCACAGCCTAGAGGGAACATTGGTAACAAGCCTAAGACAGTAAAGAGTTACTTCATGAACTGGAACCCCAGTACAAGAAGACAATCAGATAATATTATAGATTGATTCAGATGAGCACTACTCCTACTACTTCTGCTTTTGGAGATCACAACATGTGTAGATTTCTAAAACCATCACTTTGTCAAGTAGATATGGAACTGGAAGCTGGCTCTTGTAGTAACCCATGAGAACCTTCAGTACAAAAACCTGAACAGCAGATTTCACATTGGAGCATCACACATAACAAGCAAGAGGAGGACAGGATAGGAAAGCTGAAAGGGGAATCACTGAGCAACGTGGCTATTCCCTTTTAATAGTACTTCTTCTACATCAGGCATTTTAAAACAGTCTTCTGAACCAGCCACCCTGTTCACCATTTTCATTTTCAGCTGAGCACAGCAATTATCTTTCCAGCTGAAAAGTATGGCTGGATGAGAAGAGTTTCTCCCCAACTTGGAGATGTTCTCTCTGATGGAAAGTAACAGCTCGCATACAAGAATTTAATTTTGGATGATACACATGTGCCTAAAAATTAATATGACAAAGACAGAACAGAAGGAAGTTTTATAGTGAATTTAGACTTGGGAGCATTTTCATTACAGTATGAAGATTCTGGTTGAAATGTATGTGATTCTTAAAGCAGAAGGGCACAGCAAATTGATTCTTCCCCATTTCTACACTACTGAAAGTATTACAAAGGATTCTGTGCAGAATGATGTTGTTGGGTAGTATTTATAAGGTATTATAATCATGATTTATGATGTATACCAATGTACATTATTAAAGTATTTTATACATTTCCTATATAAATATTTTATGTGGTGTTGTTTTATTTTGCTGTATTTTCACAGCACCACTCTTATTCTATTGATCTTGCTAACATAAATAAAACAATCTTTTCATCATTGTCTAATAAAGACAAGCATGTTTCATGTAAATATTCTCCTGAAATTATAAGGAACATGACTTCAGTGGAGCTGTTCAAAACAGTTTTAAAACTGCAGCCTTGGGCTTCGATCTTTCTAATTCCTCTGTCAGCACTATGCTCTCTTCATTTTTATGATGTTTTACTTGGAACGGTGTACTGGGGCTTGGCTTACTCGTTTCTCAAACATCAAAGAGAATAATTAACAGAGCTGAAGCCTACACGGCACGAAGATGGATCTGTACGCCTAAACATGGAAATGCTGTATGGCTGTGGCATGACCCATGCTGGATTTGTGTACTTGTTACTCAAACTGAACCTGAAATCTCTTGCACCCAGGCCAGTCTAAGTTGGCATGATATGTTCAGTACTACATCAGTACTACACACTGTGGTGCTTTTACATCATGTCTGGAAACATCTTTTTCTCTCCTCCTTTCTTCCTTTTTGGTGGTTATTAATTCAATACTGCTGCAGACAGAACTATCTATAGTATTTCATCACGCATTGTTTGGAAAATCTTGTTATCTATACCTGAATGGTAACCAAACACCACAAGTTTTCACCACTGCATTTCATGCCAGGACATTTTAGCATCAACAAAGGTAAAGGTAAAGGTTCCCTTGCTCGAAAGCCAGTCGAGTCCGACTCTAGGGTTGCGGTGCTCATCTCCGTTTCAAAGCCAAAGAGCCAGCGCTGTCCGAAGACGTTTCCGTGGTCATGTGGCCGGCATGACTAAACACCAAGGCGCACGGAACACTGTTACCTTCCCACCGAAGTGGTACCTATTTATCTACTTGCAATTTCTTGCTTTCGAACTGCTACAAACAGCTGTGTAAAAAAGGGTTTGGGATGCCCTAGACTAGAGACTAACATATGTATTGTGGCACAAGTTTGATAAAGAAAACCCTATTAATAAATTATACTCAATGGTATACTTCATAACAGATTCCAATATGAAATCTGCTGGGCAAGGGAGAGGTTTAGAACACTTGGGAATTTTTTACAAGGTAGAAAAGGAAATATTGCATACTGCATGCTATGAGAGGTCATGGGAAAGTAGAGTAGACTACAAATAAAGGGGGGGGCAGACACCCCAAGAGGCCAAAGTCAAGGTTTTCTTATGCTATAGCTTTCAAGTCCAAAACTATTCTTTCATCTTCCAAAAGAAGATCTGAATTACCAAACCATCTGGGGCAAGGCCAACCTTCCTTGCTAGCTATTTCAATATTGGGCACATTCATATAATGTTAACAATATTTCATGTTCGTTATTACAGAAGGAAGATTTTTTCATTCATAAATCTTAGACCATTTTCCCAGATGGCTTAAATCTTTCATTAGATCTAATTCCATTAATCTAATTATCTCTCATTACAGGCTTGAAATTGACATTTAAACTGACAGTTCCTACACCTGCTATTAATTATCACACCTTATGCGTGGGTGTTTTAAAACCAGTCATTTATTTTGGGTGCTTAGGAGAATCTAGCCACCTGGGAATTTTTATTGGCTGTCACCATGTTTTGATTCTCTCTTTCAACTATACAGTATGTAACTATGGGAGAAGGCGATTGGGTGTTTCTCTTTCTTGTCTGGGTTTTTCTCTGTAAAGGTATGAGGAAAATACCAGTTGTGTTTTGTTTTTACACTTCTAGGTAAAGGTAAAGGTTCCCTTGCTCGAAAGCCAGTCGAATCCGACTCTAGGGTTGCGATGCTCATCTCCGTTTCAAAGCCGAAAAGCCAGCGCTGTCCGAAGACGTTTCCGTGGTCATGTGGCCGGCATGACTAAACACCAAGGCGCACGGAACGCTGTTACCTTCCCACCGAAGTGGTACCTATTTATCTACTTGCAATTTCTTGCTTTCGAACTGCTAGGTTGGCAGGAGCTGGAACTAGAGATGGGAGCTCACTCCATCATGCAGCACCCGGGTCTCGAACTGCTGAACTACTGACCTTCAACAGCCTGCAGTTCAGCGTCTTAACCACTTGAGCCACCGCAGCTCCTTTTACACTTCTAAGTCCTGAGAAATATGGAGCTGATCTTGTCCTTATACTACACTTCCCAAAAAAATTTTTTTAAATTTTTTGATTCACAAGTAGGTAGTTTATTTAGACTGTCTGTGGAAGTGTGCTTGCACACGAAAGCTTACACCTTAAATAAAACTTTGTTGGTCTTAAAGGTGCCATTGGACCCAAACTTTGTTATATTTTTGCAAGTCAGTGCACCACAAAATTGTCTTAAAAGCAGACTGCCAATCACTCTGAGGCCCACCTTCCTACGTGCATGCCAGCACCAATCTCATTGGCAAACAACACACTCCCCTATATCAGGTGCATCAAGTTACGTTTGTACCTTTCAACTATAAAATATTATGTGTTCTCATAGTTCCTGCAGGAATCAAAAACACGTTTGATTAAACATGCAACTACAACTTCTTACCTCACACTATATTCATTTCACTCTACTTTCAGATGTTAACTCTTCTTAAATCACAAACTCTACATGAACTCTGCTAAGATTAACAATGTGTTTCTATCAATCAAATCAGTTAATGTTCCTTTAGTCACTCTCTTTCTGTGAAACCTACCTCACTTCGTTGTTATGAGGGTAAAATGTAAAGACGGGGAGAACCATATATGATGCCCTGAGTAGGGGTGTGCATTCAGGTATACCTGAGCCAAACTTCTACCTGAAATTACCTGTTTGGGGATGGCTAGGGGGTACTGGGAATGAGCCAAAAAACTCCTGAAATTCCAGGAATAGTGAAGATTTATCTCCTGCAATTTTGGGAGTGTTTCAGGGAGGAGCAAGAGAGGGGAGAAGGAAAGAGAAGCAGCCAGCCTGGGAAACATCTGTTAGCATTTCAGGAAAGAGACAGATGTTGACTAACAGCTGGTGGTAGTCCAGTAGCACCTTAAAGACTAACAAAATTTGTGGCAGGGTATGAGCTTTCATAAGTCGCTCTCACTTCTTCAGGTACAGCTAGAATTTGAGTCCATCTGTCCTTATATCTTGGAGGGTGAAGTGATTTCAGATGCCAAATGACAATAGCAGGCAAATGACAATAGCAAGCATGATTGATTTAGATGTGATATGCAGAGGTATGGAGAAATCAGAATTGGTAATGAGACAGTAAACCTAGCTCTTGATTACCCATCTTGATCTAGCTGGTGGTAAGAAAGACCTGGCCTCCAACCATGGCCCTTTAAATGTTAAAAGGGATAGAACCCAACTTGCTCCATATCATTATTGTCCTTGCTAGAGGCTTTTCCCCACTGCTGGCGAAGGTGGCAGAGCCAATAGCTGGCAGGCTGGCCCCTGGATTCCCAGGAGGTTTTGCTGTCACAGAGGCCATTCCCTCTCACTGCCACCAGGGGCCTTTTTATTTTTTTAAATCAGCAACTGAATAGCATTATATCTATATAACAGTATAACAATATGTTTTGCAGGTTCTCTAAATTCCCATGGAATGCATATTCAACAAAAAGTATGTTTTATGTACAGAGTTTAACTTTTCAAAAGAAAGCAATCTAATAAATCACATTCAATACCAATAAGGTTCCACATAATATTCTTGTTGACAAATTGA